ATATATATATATATATATATATATATATATATATATATATATATATAAAATAATCACCTGCTCTTTCCTATCATGTCTCTTAAATGCCAACCTGGTATTGAAAGACCTTGTTTGTATGTGAACATAAGTTGTGTTTTCGTATAGGTGATAATTTAAAGGCAGTAAAACATGCAACTAAAATAAACCTTAAATTTCTTTCCTTAGTATTACTCATCGGAATAGTGTTAAAATGGTATGGTATAAAATGTATTCATTTTAAAAAAGTACAAAACAATTCCATAACAATATAAAAAGATACAAGAGATTTAAAATGAAAGGCAGCAGAACGAAGAAAAAATCTTATTATATCTGCCCCTTTTTTCAAACAATTATTTCAAGCATAATAATTTTCAAGTAACAGAACAAAATGAATAACTCTTTCTAATTTTTCTAATTCTAATACGAAAAACACACTAAGCTACTTCATATATACTTTTTTAACAATCCAGCTTTGATCTTTTTCTTAAATGTACACATTGACTTGACATTTTTAACATCACTCTCTAGACTTCAACAAAATCAACTTGTCAAGGTGATTTAGCCACTTTTCTCGCTGTGCAGCTGAAGGACAGCTACATTTTTGCTAAGAAATGTATAGTAGCCACTAATGGTCAAAGTTACAACGTTTTAAAGCAGCTGGCTCTAAATACTAGTTCTTTTTTTTGTTACTGTGTCATTTGTTTTGCCGACAAATTCTTGTTTTTTTTTTTTTTTTCCCACCAGCTGTTGCTGCAGAGGTCCCACCTTCACATGCTGTTCAGATGCAGCCGTCCTTCCAGCAGCCGACACCACGGGAAGCTTGTCTGGGTGAACGCCGTGGTCGTCAGACACAGCAGCTCACAGGTGAGTTTTCTCACTTGGGATAAAGTTGTTGTTGTTGTTTTTTTTACCGTGGATCAGAACGCTTTTATTATCTTTGCACAGTGAAGTACAACGAAATTACTTTCCGTTCAGCCGTCCTAAAGATGGACAGAAGTGTAAAAAAAAAAAGATCTCTCACACCGTGCCCTATCAAGGACACGGTGTGAGGCATAAAAAAAATCTACCATAGCAAAGCAACGTGAAAAGACATAATACGTGTGGAGTGGGTAGGGGGCGGGGGTCCCAGCATGGCAGCCAGGCGAGCGATGCACCCCTTGGCGCCTTCGCATCTCCTAGGTTGCTGCACCAGGGGAGACGAGGGAGGCCAGTGGAGGCACTGAGTTTGACGGAAGGTCGTAGCGCAGTCCAGAGCCCCCACGCTAGCCATAGTCCTGATAAGAGGTGTTTGTTTATCAGCCAGCTCAGTTGAGCTCTGTTTTGTTTTTTGTTTTTGCTTGTTTGCGTTTGTCTTTTTTTTTTTTTTACAGACCTGAAAACAACTACTACTAAAAAAACTATTTTTCTTTTAAAGTCATGATATTAGATTCAGTTCTGAACTGGTCCCACCTCGACGATTTGCAGACTCGGTTTTGTTTTGCCCAGATCCCTCCTGATGAAGGATCAGCAGCACCTCCTGAAGTAGTCGTCCTCAGCAGTCCTCCTGTCCTAGAGTCGTCCTCCATGTCTCAGCCTGCTGATGGGACCCCCGCCATCACACAGACAGTTCCTGAACAGGTAAGTGGGGGGTGGGTGGGATAACTCACCTGAGGCAGTAGAAACTTTCATCACCTAAACTTAAAAAGTGATTGTCGCCATTGTTTCCAGATGACAGCTGAAATGGTTTCCATGACAACCTCAGCAGCGGAAAACTTAACTCTTCCTCCGTCTGACCCCGCCCCGGCTCTAACCCCGCCCCTCGTGGAGCAGGTGGTCGATGCTGCTCCGACAGCAGCAGACGTCCTGCAGGCTGTGGCTGCAGAGCCTCTACTGGTAGAACTGGGTCTGGGCGGTTACACACCGGTGGGTCTCATCCAGAACCTGTTGGAGTTCTTTCACCTCGGTCTGGGCCTGCCCTGGTGGGGGGCTATCGTTACAGGTAAATAAAGTCTTTTAACTAAAATATACCAAAGTGTTAATTTATTTTCTGTACACCTCATTTACCTTCTCATGTCTCCGTTATGTCTGAACAGGGACGGTTCTGGCCCGTTTGGTCATGTTTCCCATCATCGTGAAGGGTCAGAGAGAGGCGGCCAAGCTGAACAATGTTCTGCCTCAGGTCACTAAACTGACCAACAAGATGAACGAGGCGAAGCAGAGCGGAAACAAATACGAATGTAAATATTAACGCTGTCGTTTTTCTTTTCTCAGCTTCCCTTTGAATGTCCAACTCATTTGAAGTTTTGAATTTTGTTATTTTTTCTTTTAGTTGCCAAAGCGTTCTCTGATCTGAACCTGTTCCAGAAGAAACATGACGTGAATCCTCTGAGAAGCTTCCTCGTTCCTTTGGTGCAGGTCCGTTGTTCTCCGTATTTTACTTCATTTTTATGCTAAGAACATTTTCTGATTGATTTAAAGCTCAGCTCTTTGTGACTTTGATTAATTTGGCAAGAATTCACAGGTATGTTTTATTTATTCAATCAGCAGTAAACATTTATTTTATCATTTTTGACTGAAAATGTAACTTTAAACAACAAACGCAACCAGGAAATTAAAACAGAAGTACAAAAAAAAAAAGCTCCACACCTAGGGATGCATATATCGTAATTTCCGGAAGATTGAGCGCACCTGAATATAAGCCACGCCCACTAAATTAAACAATAATAATAATAATTGTGTACTTATATAGGCCGCGCTTGTCTATAAGCCGCGGGTGTCCACGTTGTAACATGAGATATTTACACAGAAAGATTTTTTTAAACTTTGAATTAAATACGTACTGGTAACATATACAAATACGTACAGTAATTTTTTTTTATTTTTTTATTTAAAAAAAAACCTCTCCCCGTTCTCTCCTCCCCACTGTCCACTGTGACCTGTTTTGTAATTCCATAGGCCAGATTTTTTTAAACATTTGTTTACACAGGTAGTGCCATTGAGTCACGAGGACCCACCCCCCAAGAGCGACTTGGATTGGGCAACTATGTGAGCACCCGGGCGTGACAAGGCTAAATATTTTGGCGGCATGAAGCTTGTTAGCCCGTCAAATAAAAAAATACAAAAAAAAAAATTCTTAAATTTTTCCGCAGCATTGCTTAAGCCGCAGTGTTGAAAGCGTGTGAAAAAAGTAGCGGCTTATAGTCTGGAAATTACGGTATTTATGTTTATATTTCAGCACATTTGTTGTGTTTTTGTGAGGTAGAAGTTGATTTGATAAAACTACTTCATGGAAAAGTAAGAAACGTTTAGAAATTAAACGATAAATTGTGTAAGTCCGTCCTAAATGGCATTTATTCCTGAAAAATTAATCATGCTTAGGGGCAGAGGCAGGGCAGCCGACCTGGGACCAGAAAGTCGCGGTTCGACTCCCAGCCATTCCCACATGTCGTGGTGTCTCTGAGCAAGACGCCCAATCCCCGTTTGCTCCCTGGGCACTCAATAGCTGCCCACTGCTCCACCTGGGTGTATCCCAGGTGCGATGGGTAAAATGCAGAGAACTAATTTCGTCTTTGTATGGGAACATACAACATTGACAACATTGATAACACTTACATACTGGAGATCTGGGTAAATGTATATTGCACATTTATTATTGTGTATTTGTACCGTTGTTCTGACTTGCCATTAAGGTTAAAATTATTTTGCTGAAAAGTTTTTAGTTTTAGTCAAGAAGCCTGAAAGAAACAGTTTGTGATTTACCAACCTGATGGCAGCAGATCCTGTTTTTATTATGGACAAAGTAGAGAACAGCTCATTTAGACCTAAATGTAAATATTTTAGATAATTTATAATAATAATCATTAATAATATTATTAAGATTATTCGGATAATTGATAATAAAATGGTTTTGATGAAATCATTTGTAAAAAAAAAAAGAAAAAAGTGAACATTTGTAAGAAAATGTGGGAAAGTGCGCCCTCTTGTGACCAATTTCTGTCATTACATACAGAATTTGTCAAACTGCATCGACAGAATTTTTTTATTGTGTTAAATTGTATTATTACTAATAATTGAACATGTACAAATTTCTGATTTTAATTTAATATAAGTTTTTGAGACATAGTTGCCATGTTTACATGTCTAGAGCTTTACCTTCCAGGTTTTGAAAGTCCTAGAATCAGATTTTAACTTGAGTTGGATCAATTGTCAGTCGCACTGATTGCAACGCATATTTAAAATATTTATAAAGTCCTGTAGATTTAGAAAATTCACAAGACATCGTTAAAGAAAAAGTTTATCGATGGGATTGTTTTTTGTTGTCTTTTATGCTGTTGAGCAAACCTTTGTTAGATTACATTTAAAACACTTTCCTGTTAAATAATCACTATGATTATGCTTTAATACACAACACATTCTACTAATGTATTTATTTATAGAATATATTTCTTCTTTGCTTGTTTTTTCTGTATTTATGCTCTGTGCTTCCTTCACTCATGTTTGTGTCTTTCAGGCTCCAGTCTTCTTCTCCTTCTTCGTCGCTCTGAGGAAGATGGCGTACCTGCCGGTGCCCAGCCTGCAGACAGGGGGCGCTCTGTGGTTCATGGACCTAACGGCAGCAGATCCGTTCTACCTTCTTCCTCTGGCTGTCACAGGAACCATGTTCCTCATCCTGGAGGTGAGGCGGCTGTTCAGAGTAAAAGTCGCAGTAAAGGTTTTCTGAGCTCGTCACGTCCATGTGACTTTTCTCCAGCTTGGTGCGGAGTCTGGCGTCAACAACCCCAACCTGCAAGCCATGAAGACGGTATTCAGGATCATGCCCTTGGCCATCCTCCCTCTCACCATCAATTTCCCCACGGTTAGTTCAACATCTGTTTCCATCCAGCCTGTTAAACCTCTCAAGATGTGTTTGTGCGCTGCAGCTCACAGTCTGCGTTTGAATCTTCTCAGGCGGTGTTCACATACTGGATGACCTCGAACTGCTTCTCTCTGTTCCAAGTTGTTCTGCTCAAAAACTTGTTCATCAGAAACAAGCTGGGGATCCCAAATATGATCAAACACCCGGACTCAGATGTGCCCAAGACCGAGGGGTTGATCAAAGGCATGAAGAAAGGTTTGTGTTGCTAAGATGAACCAAACTATAAAGAAGTTGCTACGTCTTACTGTGTTGTAACTGGTTTTAGGTTGGAAGAACGCTCAGCTGGCCCAGCAGCTGGAGGAAAGGGAGAGAAGAGTAAAGAAGTGTCTGGACATAGCTGCTAAAGGTCAGTTGGGCCCAGCGTTGTCCCTCGTTTGGATCAATCTGGAGAATTTACTCTCCAAATATGTGAAACTATTGTCGTTATTCACTTATCACATAAAAGCTTTACTATGATAACGGAGTTAAAAGTGTACACAGCTCAACAAACTAATTTTGACTTTTATAAATCCGAGAGAAAAGAAAGACGACGGTCTTAAAATGTATCTACTGATGGTTTTTTAGGTTTTGACAACGGAGAGTGGAGTTTAATCAGACGTGGCTGTGAACATTTTATTATAAATAACAGAGTAAAAGTTGTTTTATTCCAACATTCATGGTATAGAAAGGAATCGGCACAAAAGCAAACGAACGTCTAAATACATTGAGTGGAAAGATGCTCCTCCTTGTGGCCATTTTGCTTCATTACAGCCAGAACTCTGAAGGCGTCGACAGAAAGTTCGACTTGTTCCTTGGCTTGGTGTCAGAATTTAAACCTGGTGAATATTAAAAACTTGCATCTGATTTAACAAGTGTGTTCATAGTGTGAATGTTTGCATTCACACTATTGTGATCCATTTTTCTTCCGTACATTTTTCGGCTCGATTCTCCTTCTCACAGTTTTCAAGTTATTTCAACAAATCATAGATCAAAACGTTCAGCTCTTTCAGGAGATGGGCGCTACGACTTTTGTTATTGGTGCAACTTCAGCTTTTTTTGAAATATTTAGCCTTTTCTTCCACTTTTTTTCTCGTAAGCAATGAATTGAGCTCATTTTCCATCCTTCAAATCTTTAGATCTGTTCACATTTTGTTCTGGTTCAACTTCTTTCAGCTTCCTTGTGCAATTTTAGACATTTTTTCAGCTAATTTCAGCTGTTTTTTGCTCCTTTCAGATTCTTTCTGCTAACTACAACATTTTTGCTTTTTCTTTCTGCTCATGTCAGCATATTTCTGCAATTTTAACATTTTCTGCTATTTCAGCTACTATTTAGCTGTTTTTATGACAATTTAAGCTTTTTCAGCTAATTCCACATTTTTTACACTAATTTAAACTTTTTTCAGCCTAATTCAGCAAAAATGTGCTCTGTACTTCCTTCTGGTAATTTCTGCTTCTTTCTGCCTTTTTTAGCTACTATTCAGCAGTTTTTTTTTTTTTTTTTTTCTAATTTCAGCCTTTTTTCAGATAATTTCCATTTTTTGTGCTCATTTCTGCTTCTTTCAGCCTAACTGGGCAAACTTCCATTCTTTCTGCCTTTTTTATGCTAATTTAAGCTTGTTCTATCTGTTCAGCTACATTTTTAGCATTTTTAGCTAGTTTCAGCTGTTTCCAGATAAATTCAAGATTTTGTGGTAATTTCTGCTACTTTCAGGCTAACTAACTTCTTTACGCTAATTTCAGCTTGTTATGCTCCTTTCAACTTTTTTTCTGCCATTTCAGCTACTGTTTTGCTTTTTTTATGCCTTTTTATACCTTTCACTGATCAATCAAGTTTTAAAGCACAGTGTGCAGACAATCCACTCAAAACTGTTTACATCGTCTTAAACCTACTTTAGAGCCAAGGAAGATTTTTTTTTTTTACCTCAAGTTACCAACAAAGTCCAGGTTTCTTTTATGTATGTACTTGGATGAAACTGGTTTTCAGCTGTTCTGCTGTCCAGTTTGACGTTTCATCTCTACAGATTCGGCTCGTGTTAGAGGACAGATTTTTACCAGGTTCTACTTTCTGGTCGACTTTCGGCTCGCAGCATCTCAACGAGGAGCGAACTATTTTGCTGCATGCTGTGTTGCTTACTCGATGGTTCCCAATACTGGTCCTTGAGGAACGCCACTCTGCATGTTTTAGTTGTTTCCCTGCTCCAACACCTGATTCAGAGATTTTATTACTGCCTGAAGTTCTGCCAAAGCCTGTTAAGCCCCCATTCATTCAAATCAGCAGGGAAACAACTAGCACATGCAGGGTGGTGTTCCGCAAGGACCAGTGTTGGGACCCACTGGCTTACTTTATCACTTTGTCATTTTGCAGGTCCACTGAGGCAGACGTTTACCCACAATCCTCTGAAGCAGACTTCTTCAGCTAAACCAAAAGAAGTTGGAGTCAAAGCGAAGCTGTGGAAAGACACGATTGGATGAATCCCACCAGCTGTTAGCCACACGCTGCTGTGATTATTGTACATATTTATAAACAGGAGAAGAGAAATGTGGGTAAAACGTATTATTCTAAATCAAATACAAGCTTTTCTTCCAGACACTTCCTGGTTGTTGTCGTCTTGTATTTATTTGTGCGTTCTGGACAGAAATGAGTCGTTTTAAGTTGTGAAGTTATTTTATTATAAATACTCGACTTTCCCGGAACTGGTTTAAACTCTGAACAGCATTTGAGTCAAGCGCGTCAAAGGAACAAGTTGATTTGTGTAAAAATAGCCCTTTTTTTACTTCAGCAGACCTTACAGCTGAAAATAGAACACATTTTATAAACTTCTATACACACAGTTGAATGTGGAGTTGCATCGTTTTCCATTGCTTTGTTTTTTTATGTGCAAACAAGAAGGTTTCTACAGTCAGCAGTGCTTTCAGTTTTAAAGATGCTTAAACAATTTAACAATAATTAGCACAAAAACAAACAAACTGTATTTTACACATAATGCTTGGTTTATCACTTAAATATATATATTTTTTGTGAAATAAAAACAGGTGTCGACTTCTGCAGTTTAAATCGTCTTTGGTCTGTGAAGAAATCCCGATCACCGAGTGATGATTGTCACAGAAGTACGAGTCGGGTCCAATTCCAACCTAAACGTTGGTCCTTTGGTTTCTGGTTAGCAGCAGCAGGTGGAGGAGAGGAGTTCAGGCTGAGACTCGTCGGGATGGAAAAAAACTGAACGTCTTCATTCGACTTTGTCCACGTCCATCTCAGTCAGAACTGAGTAACAAACCTTCTGAATCAGAATCCCAGATTTCGCTAAAAAAAAAAAGGAAGTTACAAGAGGTCAACATGTTTTATCTCTTATCAGTTTCAGTTTACATCAATTAAAAAAAACAAGTTCGTGTTGGATTTAAGGTGAGAAGGACGTAGATCAAGTAAATATTCATAAACTGGATCTGACTATCGGCAAGAAGGAGAAAGTAGGTGGAGTAAAACTTAAACTTTAAATGCAACAATATGACCCACAGCATGCGCTCGAGTCTTGAACATGGTAATAAATGCACTGAATGAGTTCAGCTGGCTGTAAAGATGTCCGAATGATCAGCTCAACACTTTCGGTGCCATTATTTCACACATGGCTACAGATCAACAGTTTTTACCACATGATTCCCCAAACCCTGATGGATAAACTACTCACACTAGGACTAAGCCCCTCCCATTTGCAACTGGGTCCTGGATTTCTTAACCAACAGACCACAGCCTGTGAGGATCTACAACTTCTCCTTCACCATAACCCTCAGCGTTGGCTTCCCCCAGGGCTGTGTGTTGAGCCCCCACCTGTTCACTGCTCACATATGACAGCGCACCTACTCATCCAGGCTGTCACATTGTAAAGTTTGCAGATGATACGGTGGTGGTTGGATGCATCACAAACGACGATGAGTCCAGCTGCAGGCAGGAGGTGGAACACCTGGAGAGCTCGTGCAGGACGAACAACCTTCACATCAATGTGAAGAAGATGAAGGAGATTGTCGTGGACTTCAGACGGAACAAACACACACACACACACACCCCCCCCCCGAACATAGGAGGATCTGCTGTGGAAGTTGTCTCCAGCTACAAGTACTTGGGTGTGCACCTGAATGACAACCTCAGCTGGGGTAACACACCACCAGCCTGATCAAGAAAGCTCATCGGAGACTCTACTTCCTCGGGCGGCTGAGACGAGCTGGTCTGGGAAGCTCAGTCCTCACCTCCTTCTACAGGTGTGCAGTGGAGAGCATCCTGCACTCCAGCATCAACGTGTGGCATGGAGGCTGCACAGCTGCAGAAAGAAAAGCTTTGCAGAGAGTGGTGAAGGCTGCACAGAAAACTTGGAGTCAGCCTCCACACCATCACAGACATCTACACCTATAGATGCAGGAAGAGGACCAACTGCATCATGAAGGACCCCACTCACCCAGCACACACACTTTTTCCCCCGCTCCCCCCAGGAAGGAGGTTGAGGAGCATTAAGTGTAGAACCACTAGACTGAGGAACAGCTTCCCAAACCATGATAATCACTGTAATGCCACTTTAGTTTAATGTTTGACACGTTATCCATCCTGCTGATTATCCATCCTGCTGATTATCCATGCTGCTGATTTCTTGCCTTTAAGCTGCTATGTTCATACCCATCTGCTCACAACAGACTCATGTTCAGGCTGCTGTTTAATATACTGTATTATATTACATTATTATTGTTTTGCATATATATTTTAGATCCTTGTATACTGTTTCTTTTTCAGGATTTTTGTTGCTATTTTTAGGTGTAACTGGGACCTTGAGTACACAGTTTCCTTCCGCCTCATGTACCACATGTGATGCTAATTATTATAAAGAACATTGAACCTTCTAAGTCTTCACTTGTTGGATGGTTTGTGTTCAGACATTCACTTTAAACTGGGTACATATTTTACATTAGATATTTGTAACTGCATTACTAGGAAGAATTTTGAAGATGGTTATTCTTTCAATTTTGTGTGTAAAGAAGGCCAATTTAAATTGACCATAATTGATTTATGACAGCAATAAACATATAAAACATGCAAGTGGGTGAATACGTTAATCAGTATTAAAAAGAACTGCCTTAAACGTTACGTGTACTAATAACATATTTGGCTGATCAGAGGGAGCGTCATGGTCCTTGATGGCCACGCCTGACTCATAACGTTGAACAGAGTCGTAATCGTCGTGATGACAGGAAACAAAGACACAAGTGAGGAACACATTCGTTTATCACCACTTGTTTTTCAAACAGCTGCTCCTCTCAGCGGGGAGGCACCGCTGTGAGCCAACTTCCCTCAAAACCCCTCCAGATACAACATGGGCTCGAACCTGCAACCTCAGGCTTACAAGACCGCAGCACCGACCACCGAGCTACCGTGGCTCCGGGTTCTCACAACCGATAGAGCTATATTAAACAATTCAAACTGCATGTTTTCCTCTTATCGTGCAGCGCTAGTGTTCTCGCTAAAGCACAAACAATAAGACGATTGGGATGATCTGTCTCCTGGTTTATCAACTTGTACTGAATAAATGCAGACGTCTGCAAATGTGCACGGCGTCAGATTTATTTCAACAGCACAGCTCAGTAGTGAAATAGCTGATTTGTTTAAACAACCCGTCTGTTGTCCAGACTAAGGTTAAAACTGATGCCAACCTAAATAAAGAGTGGTCTAGAACTTTTGAGCTGCTGGGATGGAAAATGAAGCTCCTGGAGAAACTTTGACGGGGACTGCCGTTTGGCAGACATTTTAAATATTTGATTTGACAGTATGTGATGGGGTTCACTCTCAGCTACAATCATACCAAATTTCAACTCAATATGGCAAAAAATCAATGAGTTATAGTATTTTTTTTCCTTTTAAGCTTTGGTAGCCATCTTGGATTTTTGATGTGGACCCAGTATGTGATGGGGAGCGTTCTCAGCTATAACCACACCAAATTTCAGCTCCGTATGTGTAAAAATAGCTGAGTTAAAGCCATTTAAATTTAGCTGTGGCGGCCATGTTGAATGCTTTTATTTGAATTCAGGATCTCGGCTACCACCGCAGCAAATTTAAGCTCGTCTTTTAAAATAGCAAAGTTATTTGTTTGTAAACTACGTCACCATGGTAACTCGAAACGCCAGTGAGAGTAATGGCACACATCACGGTCCCGAGCCGGTCGTTTTGATATAAAATTTGTGGGGGTGCACGTTGCGGTTAGGGCCACATTAAAGTTGATAGAAGAGCAAGACCCTTTGGTGGCTGCCTTCAGTTAGTCCCCATTAAAACCAGAAAACAAATTGCAGGTTTAGCTTAAAGGGACAGGCGAAGCAACATCATAGCAAAGATTTGTACTATCCATCCATCCATCCATTATCTTTACCCGTTTATTCCATTTTGGGTCACGGGGGTCGCTGGTGCCCATGTCCAGCAATCACTGTGCGAGGGGCGGGGTACACCCTGGACGGGTCGCAAGTCCATCACAGGGCCACATAGAGACAGACAAATGAGACAAACAACCATTCACTCTCTCACTCACACCTAGGGACAATTTAGAGTTACCAATCAGCCTAACATGCATGTTTTTGGTCTGTGGGAGGAAACCGGAGCACCCGGAGAAAACCCACGCATGCACGGAGAGAACATGCAAACTCCACCCAGAAGGCCCCTGGACCGGGATTTGAACCAGGGACCTGTTCGTTGAGAGGCAGCAGCTCTACCAGTTGCGCCACCGTGCTGCCAAGATTTGTACTAATAATTTTTAAAAAGAGTCTTTCAGGGTGTATTTCAGATTCCATGGTTGACTTGTTTTTGTAATATTATGACGAACACCGCACTAAGTGCGAAGCACGAGGGTGGACGGGTGATGATTCGGACTTGTTTGTCAACCCCTGGATCTGAGCACCTTGCAGTCACTGAGTCAACCGTGAACACCTTTGTATATAAAAGTCCTCTAGAGACAACTATGAGACCATCTGTCCAACAGCTGGAGCTTTGACCAAACTGGGCCAGAACAATGAGTCCAAACAGCAGCGGCTCTACAAGAGAATTAGGCTGAGAAAGAAAAGATTTGAGTCGCAACGGTTCAGTCGAAGTTCAGACCTCAGCCTGGTTGTACAGTAATGCTGTGGTGGGACCTTAAGAGAGGTGAGCAAAAACCTCAGTGAACTGCAGCAATGTTGGAAAGAAGAGTGGACCAAAGTCCCTCCTCAACCATGTGGAAAAACTGATAGCTGTACAAAAAACATGTAGAACTGAAAGACGGAGTACTTTCTTTGCCCCCTGACTGTAGTCACGGAGAATCTCGTGTCTGTCTTACCGATGAAGCTGCGCAGCCACATGGGCCTCTTGTAGGCTGGAGTGTAGCAGCAGAGGAAGTAAACGGGCACGCCTGAGAGGGCGATGCCGATACCGATCAGGGAGTTGACGGTGTCGCTGTACAGAGGTACCACCACCAGGAAGACGGTGAGGAAGCAGAACACGATGGGGAAGAACAGACTGAGCTGTGAACAGAAGGGGAACGTTGAGGAGATGGTTTGATTCATCACATCAACGGTGATCATCTTCAGTGCTGTAGCACCAGATGAGCCGAGGTACCTTTAGTGGTCGCTCTCTGTCCGGCTGCTTCCAGCGCAGATAAAGTTGCCCAAGAATAGACAAACCAACGAAGAACCAGTAGCTGAAGCTGTAGTAGTTGATCAACCTGAAGACGTCCTCTACGCACAGGTAAATAAGAGCCATGAATCCCTGTAGAGGAGAGCAAACGCACCAAGTGAGGCTAAGATCTCTGGGTGTGGGTGTCCACCAAATGGTCCAGACAACAGGTGAGATGATGGAGACTGACGTTGAAGAGCAGGGCCGGGATGGGGGTGTAGCGGTGGACATGGATCATGCACAGGAAGTCGGGCAGGTGGCCTTCTCTGGAGCCCACGAAGAACAGCCTTTGGAAACAAACAGAAAGTTGTGATGATGGAGTCTATTGACTGATGGACGATGATGAACAGGATTTGATAATGACGGATCTTTTTCTTTTCCACAGCGGATCATTCCACCCTATCCCAGCATCCTCCTCTGTCCTCTGCCCCATAATTTCAAATGTTTGACCTGAAATACCTGTACTCCACACAGCTTCATTGTTACACCTGTCTCTCTCATTCACACATTGATTCCGTTTTGCTACCTCCCTGGGCTTTCTTCCACCTGCTTCCTATTACAGAGATAAATCCGTATAATCCTTAAAAAGGCACAATCACCCACCTGGATGCAGCCACGATAGAGGCATTCAGTCCACCAAAGCAAGAAAGAGCCACAGCGAAGGGGATGGTCCAGTTCATCACCCCGAACACCTTATCTGCAAACGTCTGGAAGGAAATGACGATGAGTTTTAGAGGCTTGATGACCAGAAGGTTTTACTGACGTGGGTGACTGGAAACGACAAACGTACGACAGCCACAGCATCGCTGTCTAGGATGGCGTTGATGGGGAGGATGGTGTAGTAAGCCACGTTGGTCAGAATGTAGATCACCGTCACGATGGGCATGGAGATAGCAATGGCCAGAGGCAGGTTCCTGCAGTTCACAGAAACAAACAGCAGAGGGAGACAAAGAGCAGAGATAAAAACTTTTATGATCGCATCTGATCAGCATCAAACACAAATACAGCCGTTCTGGGGTCGAGCTCATTGTTTAATCTTTAATGAAGAGCATTTTTAATATTTTATACTGCAATTTATTCTTTTTTTTTTAATATATATATAT